TTGATATGATGAATTTCGATAAAAATGAATGAAAATTTAACCTTTTAAGTCCTTTTATTTACGCTTTTTTTTAACATGCATTGTTTTGACAAAATTAATTATTTGTGTTTATTAGTTCTGTAATTTTATGCACCTTTTGAATTTAGTTAGCCATATAATGGTGGGTGGATTTAATACGTACGCAAATCATTCATAGTTTTCATTATTTATTGCACGTCTTGTGATAGTATTTGATTGTTTACAAAATATAAGTTTTGCTACTTTATGCACAACAACACATGATTCATACAACATTTTTAAATACGTACGTACGTACGTACGTATATCTGTCGTTTTCTAATACAATCATTATTTTTCCAAAAATGTTTAATGATTCAGAATGCTTAGTCAGTTCAAATACATAGAAAAAAAAACGTGCGTGCATGGATATTCTTATGTAAACATTGACACAGTTTTGTCCGCATTAAGAGTACCAAAAATTCAAAATAATGGACAAATAATGAAGCAAACCTTTTTACTAAAAACAATTTACTAAAAACAAAAAAATGTAGCTAGTTTTACTTTTCGTAATATTCGGGTTTCTCCAAGATTTTGTCAAAAAAAAGTAAAATTTTCCAAAATCGGTTTTCGGTTTAAATATTGCGAAATCGGAAGTCTCAGATTTCGGAAGTCTCAAATTTTAAACCGCACCAATCTTGTGTTTGAGAAACATATCTATTTTTAGATTTATTAATAAATAATGAAAAAATTACTAAATTTGGTATGCAATTATTTGTACGCAAAACAAATATAAAATTAAGACTACACAGTACTTGATAAAACTGCTTAATTTGGATTAAAAAAAAAAAAAAAACTTGACAACTTTTTACTTTTCATCCTTGCAAGATTTCGCAAAATTTTATTTTAATCATGGAAGAAAATTTCGATCCGAACAATGAAAACAAAAATTTCGATCCGAATAATGAAACCAATGTTGTTTATTCATCTAATAATACTGATAAAGATCATACTTCTCTAACTGGCATGTCCAATTCGGTTACATTTCAAGAAAGTATTACCAGAACAAGTGATGAAAATATAGTGACAAGTGATGAAAGTATTACCAAGACAAGTGATGAAAGTATTACCAGGACAAGTGATGAAAGTATTACCAGGACAAGTGATGAAAGTATTACCAGGACAAGTGATGAAAGTATTACCAGGACAA